GACCAGTTCCAGCAACACAAAATTCCCCTGCGGACCCGAGCTAATTTGGTTTGGGTTTCTGCCATCAAAAGCATGAATATTAGTTAAGATTATTATGCCCCGGTTGTAACCGGAGATTTGAGAAATTAGTGAGTGGCAGAGCCAGGAGTCTGTGCTGCTTCCCCTGCTGAGGATGAGACATGGCCCTTCCACACCAGCAGTGACCAAGACATGCACAGCATCTTGCTTAACGTCTCTGCACACGAGGTGTGGACAGGGCCCCACACCCACTACCCCCTCAAACTTTTAAAGAGGAAGAACCAGAGTCTCAGAAGGGGGAGGGAATGACCCCAGTCACACATCTAGTAGAACGCCTCAGGAGGAGAAAAGCCGTGACAAAAGGGCGCTCGGAAGGCTGGTTCCGACATGAGACACAGGCAGGAGAGGCCCTGAGCAGTGCTCTGTGGAATGATCCAGCAGGTTCTCCTCGAGACACCTTCCTCACCTCCTCGGTAATCACAACAAGGAGGTTGCATCACGGCCCTGGCAAGTTGGTAACTGAGGGAGCGATTTTACTCATGCACAGAGAGAACAACTCGCTCTGATCCCCTAATAACCACACAAGGCAGCCTGGTTAGTCGGGACTCAGGACTGCAACAGAGAGAAGACCAGTCACAACCTGGCTCAAGTAACAAAAGGAATTTATTGGCTCACATAACTGACAAGTCCAGAGGAAAAGCAGATTCAGGGAGGACGGGATCCAGGAGCTCAAACAGTATCATTAGGACCTGTTGGTTCCTCCCTCCCTCCACCAGTGTGTTGTCACCACGTGGGGTCAGGATCTTCCCGCACGGCAGCAAGGACAGCTGCCAGCAACCCCTGGCTTCCATCATATCCTCCCAAGAATGCTAGAATTGGCTCTTACCAGATCAGCTTGGCCACACGCCATCCTGTGACCCAATCATGGTGGCCAAGGGATGGAACAAGCTGACTGACCAGGCCAGCATCATCCGTCCTGCTCTGGAGCTCAGGTCGGGCAGTGGTGGGGTCATTCCTGCCAAACCACAGGGACAGAATGGGGAGAAGGATAAGCCAGCCAAGGAAGACTGGGGTAGTGTTTGTCCCAGGGTGGGTGTGATAGGCAGTCTCCAAGGTGGCCCCCAATGACCCCTGCTCCTTGGTATTCCATCCATGTGTAGACCCCTCCCACATTGAACCAGGTTGAGCTGTGTGACAACAGAATATAGCAGATGTGATCATGTGTCATTTCTGAGATTGGATACAAAAGCCACTGTGGTGGCTTCCATATTGGGTATGTTCCCTTGCTCTTGGGTTACTCACTCTGGAAAGCCAGCCGCTAGGCTGTGAGCAGCCCTGTAGAGCGGCCCACATGGCAGGAAACTGAGGCCTCCTGCCAACAGCCATGTGAGGGAGCTGGGAAGTGGACCCTCCAGCCCCAGTCAAGCCTTCAGATGACCGCAGCTCTGGCCAACAGCTTGACCGCAACCTTATGAGAAACTCTGCGCCATTCACACATTCTTCACTCACAGAAACTGCAGAGGATCCTCAACGTTCACTGTTTTAAGATGTCAAGTTTGGAGATAATTTTTTACACAGCCAGGGGTAAATAATACAAAGAGCAGAAGCAGAAAATGTCCCTGCAATAAGCCCACAACCCTGTCCACTTGCTTCCCTCAAAGGCACTTCTGGTCAGGTAAATGTGTGTTTTCTTTCTGCTAACACCTGTCTCATAGCTTGAGCTTTCCTTTTTTTTTTTTTTTTTATTGAAGTATATATAGTTGACTTACAATGTTGTGTTAGTTTCTGCTAAACAGCAGAGTGATTCAGTTATACATATATATATATATATATATTCTTTTCCATTTCATAGCCTGTTTATCACAGGATATTGAATATAGTTCCCTGTGCTTATACCACAGGACCTGGCTGTTTAGCTTGAGTATTCTTAATTCCACAGGAAATAAGGCAATCAACTATTCAGGGAATGCGACTTACCGACCCTGAACAGCAACTGACTACAACGCCTCCGCCCAGCAAGGAGCAGCTCCTTGGCGCCACAAAGGCACTGGGCTGGTTGTGTGACCTCGCTCTTTGTTGAGCCATGATAGCACAAAAGGAAAGCCATTAATTTTGAGCAACATGAACGTGTACTAAAACGCTAGGTTTGCTCAGGGATGTTCCCATTTTTACAATTCTACACTCAGAGCCAGTAAGCCCCACATACACCCAAACACGCTTCTCAGCATTAGCATACTCACGGCAGAAATAATTTCACTTTCTTGAGTCGGAGATAGCCTAATTCTTAATTCTTTCTGCACCACTGGTGTTAAAATACAACTATTGATTAGGCAAGGTTTCTTAGTAATATAATTATTATACTAGAGAAAAATGATAATGATAGTTAACATTTTTGAGCATTTATGAAGCACATTCATGGAGCCGACATATGGTCTGTCCTTTTATCATTTAACCACTCTACGAGGTGGAGACTTCTCTTATCCTCATTTCATAGCCAAGGAAACAGAGACAGAGAAGTTAAGTAACCTGCTCGAGGTCCCACAGCTACTAAGCAGCAGAGCCATGATCGGGCCCGCAGGATCCAACGTCAGAATCCGTGCCACCAACCACTAGGCTAAACCACCCGCATTATGAAACCTACCACTTGGACACATGGGGACCTAGAACAGAGCAGCCCTGGTGCACGCATGCGGGCCTCGCCTCCAGCCTGTGACCCTGCACATCCTGCCTGTGTCCCTTCGGTGACAGCACTCCCCAGCCCCCAAGCCACAACTGACCACGTGGGTCCACCACCTGACAACACTGACAGCTGCTCCTCCTGCAGCCAGAAGCCCGGAGAAAGATCTGACAGTTGGCAGAGGTCAAGTCTGTCTGCAACACGTCAGCAGTTGAGTTTTTCAAAACTTACACATCCCACAGCTCCGTTTGCTTTCTTCCTGTTTTCTCCTTCTGAAGTGTCTGCCTGCTTTATACATGTTCCTTCTACCTGCAAACTGCAAACTTTCAGGCACCTTAAAAGCTCAGCTACCCACTGCTTAAATGGGGAGGCTTCAGATTACAAACCTGCTCAGTTAAGAAGTTATTTTTTTCTATTCCATTCATGGGCTAAATAAAATTTACCCAAAAATTATCATATACTCAAAATACATTTACTGTAAAACACACTCCAATAGCACATCGCTGCCCAGCGCCTTATGTACTTTCACACACACTCCTCCTCATTGGGCCCGCGCAGGGGGATAAGATCATCCTCTCCGTTTCATAAACGAGGAAGCACATGCTTGTGGCAGTGAAGCAGTTCACCCAAAATGCACAATTTGCAAGCAATGCAGCAGGGACTCAAGGCTGAGCTGGCTCCTAACACAATAAAAATGACAGGCGACAGAAGTCTGTCTTTCTTCGATGATTCAGAACCCAAGACTCCACAGACTTCAGTCTTTATGACAACATAAAACGCAATTACACCACAGAACCCTAGCATGGCCAGGTAAGATGCGGGTCCGGTTGAGAAAATGCGAAGTTAGGCACCTGGGACTGTATTTATCATAGTCATTTAACGGTCTGTGATGCTCTTGAGATGTCATTTTCAAATGTGAACAAAGAAGAAAAGTTCAAATTAAAATTAAATATGGGATCACGGTGCCAACTTTCAGTTACATGTATATAGCGATTACGTTAGTGCCACTCACATCTGCTGACAGCACGAGGATGGAAAATGCTGCTTCTGTCGCTTTACTTAACCCTGGGCTCCCCTGCACATCCACAAGTCAGGTTTATCTCCTGGTCTAATTTTAAAGTAGTTTTAAAGAATGACCTGATAAACTGCTTATTTTACCTAAAATGGGGAAAAAAACTGGAACTCAAGTGTCCAGCAAACAGAAATGCTGACTTTAATATGGTGCATTAACTCAGTGAAATGCCACATCCAGGCACATAGAAATGGTGACCATGAAGCTTCAGTGGCGGAGGGAGGTGGCCTAAGAAGTGACAGGCTGCAGATTTTAAGTACAGTACATAAAAATACGTTTGCATGTGAACAAATTCAGTAAAAATGCATGTTATTATGGGAGTTGGAGCTTGGCAGGGGGCGGTTGCTTTACAGTTCTCATTATTAATAAGATATAAACAAAGTCACAGAAAAGGAAATATAATAAGATGGCTCAAATAAAAAGAGGTTCAACCGTACTCTGAATTAGGGGAATGCAAGTGAAAAATATTCTGCCAGCGCTGCTTTCACCTGTGATTTTATCAAAGACCCCCAAAGTCGGATCCGCCCCGGGGGGCAGGGCTGTGCTGGGTGAGGCCCAGCCTCCCTGGAGGGCAGCTTGACGACCTCTATCCAACTCAGAAAGGCACTGCGCTTTGACCCAGCAATTCTACTTCCAGGAATTTCTCTGGCAAGCAGAGTCATATTGGGACAAAATAACAAATGCGAAGGTTATTATTATTAGAAGAGGCGAACGGCTAGAAACAACCGGGGTGCCTGGCTGTTGGCGTGCCAGCCAAATGAATCCTGGTGCAGGCGGGCAATGAGGTATCGGGGGCTGTTAGAAAGATGGCAGCTCCGTGTACCCAGCGCAGAACAATCTCTAAGCTGTGGAGGGAGTGGGGTGTAGGATACGTGACCACTTGTACCAAGGCAGAAAGGAAGGAGGGGAGGGAAGTGAAAGGAAGAAAAAGTTTGTGCGTCCGAATGTACGCATCTGCTCACGGAATGCACAGAGCATCTCTGGGACGGCAACACTGCCCACCTCCAGGGGTGAGCCAGGTGTCTGGGGGTGGCGGAGTTTAACCATTTGTACCTTTTGGATATTGAACCATGTGCATACATACTATTCAATATTTAATGTAGTAAGTTAAATTTCAGATGCATAAATTTTATTTCCATCGGTCACTTTTTTTTTTTAGTTAAAAAGTATTGATGAAAGGTGTGCTTGGGGTTTGAACAAAGCCTCCCCCCCAGTCCCTCTGCCCTCCCCTACCTTGCCAACGCCTGGATCTTTGTGAAGTGCCGCTCCTCCTGTTCGGCCACCTTCCGTTTCAAGGTGTCGACCTCTTGGCGGAGCACGGCCGAGTGCTCCATCTCACCGTCAAGCAGGTTCCGCAGTGACCTGGGGAGAGGAGGCCCACCTGCTGTCAACCCAGAGTCCATGGAGTCAAATCTTAGTTCATTCATCTTCCACAAGGCTCTGCATAAACTGCAGTTCAAGTCCATCTCATATAAACTGATTTGAGGAGATACCAAACTCTGCTCAAGAGCCTCTGAAGCATAATTAGGATGAGTCCCCGGGAACCATCTGTGGCCTGGCTCTGTGGCCCTGAGAGCCTGTGGGCAGCTTAAATCAAGGGAAAACAATGAGCTGAGCCAATCCCAGGCAAGCCCCCTTCAAGACATCCCACGCAGAGGTGCAGCACATTCAACCGAGACATCCTGTCACAGCCGCACTGCACAGGAGATTCAACAAAGGAAAGGATGCCAGGACAGACCAAAAGAACCACCTAAACCACAAAAGCAGAAGACAGGCTCCGGTTATCTGACAGACAACGGGAGTCTCATTTCTCCTGCCACAAAGCGCACCTTACCCCTGCTCCATTGCCACCTCCAGGTTAAACAAGCATATAGAGTATCTCATGGAGCTATACAATCTGACATTGCATAGAACGTGTTTTATATTATATTTGGAGTGTGTTAACCTCCAGAACACATTCACTTGCGTATCTGTCATCCTTGGTCTTAAACAGCAGAGAAGACAGAAGCTCTTCCAGAAATAATCACAAGTTACCACCTAGAAATGAGCCAAGCAGGGTTCTTCTGACCATCTACGTCGCTGGACCTCAAATGGCTATTTCTATAGAACATTTACTAACTTTGGTGCAGCTACATCCTAAATCTAGAGGACACTTGCCACGTGACATCAGAACATAAGCAAAAGTGTCTGAACCTGCCCACCCTCACTGCTCACTGAACCCCACCCCCACCCCAAGACGTGTGTTCCTGGAAAGTTTTGAGAAAATTCCCCTCTTGGGGCCTGGAAACCCCCCAACACAAACACAGTGTGATTTTTTTCTCTCGCTGGGAAGGAGAAGAAATTACCAGACAGTGATGACTGTTCTTTACAAGGTAAGACAAAACCTATGGCTTTTTCCAAGATAGTGGCCCCAGCTGGATCAAGGAAAAAGCATCCTACCTTGTCTACAGCCTGTCACTGGAATTTATTTTAGTTGCAAAATAGCACTGTCTGAAGATTCCTTTTTTAAAAAACTCTTTTGTTTTCCAAATCACACTTATTTGCTTTCATATGTTTCCATAAAGGATGAGGGAGAAGCTTGTCAAGCAGGGCCCAAATCGAGGCTTCAAAAGGAGAATCACGACTGCATGTCACTAGGGACACAATTCCTGCTCTGAGTACAAGAATAAGAGGGTGACATGAGCGTACACACACACACTCACACACGCACCCGTCCCCTGGCCCGCAGGGAGGCAGCCCGTCATGCTCGCAGAGCCTCGGCAGATAACTGCATGCAAACCCCTCTACTGAGCACCCTGTAGCCAAGACAAGGTTCTGGCAGTGGAGCAGCTCACGTCTGGGCAGCCAAGCAGTAGCAGCATGGCTAATACCTGGCTGGTATCTAGCCCTGGTTTCAACAGGGAATCAAAATGAATAAGACCCTTTGGCCTCTCGGTGCCTGCAACTAGGCTTTTGGGGAAATCAAAAAACTCCAAATGCCATTTTGCCCTATGTGTCCCTGACTTTAGAAAATTTTAAGTGTTCTAGTGCTTGGAACATGACGGGTAGACCCTGAATTAAAGGTTACCCACTACTTAAGGAGGGTCGCACGGTGACAGATATGGGGATGGGGCTTCTTTTTGAGGTAGTGAAAACGTTCTAAAATTCTGGTGATGGTCGCACATATCTGTGAATATACTAAAACCCATTGAATTGAGTACTTTAAATAGGTGAATGATATGTGAATTCTATCTCAAAGGCTGTTTTTTAAAAAAAGAATTAAAAAATAAAAAAGATGGCTTTACAAATTCTCAGTTTGTTCTAAGATAGTGCGAGGATCATACGGTTTTCATTCCTTGCTAACACTCAAGCCACAATATATATGCTGAAGTGGTACATCTGACCAAAAAATAAGAAATCACTGGTCACAACTCTGCCAATAAAGCAAAACTTCCTTCACGGTGATATTCTCTCTGCCCCAGATGTAGAATGTCCACGGTAGACTGCCCCTCAAGCACAGAGCTCTCGATACCTGTTCTCTTCTTCCAGCTCATCCTTCCTGGTCATCATGGCCACGATGGCCTGTCGCAGTTCACCTAAGGAAGAAAGCCAAGTCCAAATTAACCGGCAGATCCCGCCTGCTACACCGCCCCACACCGGTCTGCATTATGTGCTATTTAGGGCCACTTGTCTAGACAAGTTCCCTTTTCCCTTTCAGAAATAATTCCTATACATTCTAAGAGAGCCAGTGGGCTCAGTCAATCACTCTCATTAGCCACACAAAACCCAAAGGCAAAGCAGGATGAGAATAACTGTGGAGGCGTTTCCTTAGTGAACATAATCAGCCACCACAGAAGAAACAGGCTGGTCATTTCTAAGCGCTTTTCCAAGTCTCTACTACCGGACAGCAACTGTTCTGAACGCGAGTATGTTCCCAGTTACAGCTGTTTATCAACCGCAGAGCAGACAGCAGATCACATGACAACTGACTCCATACCGACACAGAAATTCTCAAGTTCACTAAGAGATCTGGTTTTCCTGTGCTGACTCCCATAGACTCTGAAGGGGGGGTGGGGCCTCTCCAATGCACAGTCCATAATTACCTATAGGAGTGACTCTCCTGACATCTTCAACGTTGGAAAGCATTCACTGATAGAAAATCACCCCTTTAAAATCAGTAAGTGCCCACGTTTCCCATCTACATCAAAAACTTGTCACTGTCCAGCCACAGTGGACTGTTTACCATAACACTCAGATCTCAAGACCAGGAACTTGTGAATTTCTCCTGGAGAGCCAGTTTTGTTTCATTTTTTCCCTAAGGAACCCTGTGAACTTTATGTCCCTCTTGGGACTGGCTGTGAGGAAGCTCACAGCCAAAGTTACAAGTCCAGTGAGTGCACGTGGCCCTGTGGCCACCACAACATGTCCCAACCCTCCCTCTGATGCCAACCTGTATTTCCACCTGGTGCCAATTTACATGTAACCCATCTCACTCTATTTTTTTCAATCTGTTTTAATATGCTGCTTCAAGTCCTCTTTTGGGAAGAAGTATGGTTTTTGGTTTCTTTTTATTTTAGCTAAAATTTGAACGCTTCTACTTGCCAAGCTCTGTTCAAAGCCCATACTGGCACTATCTTGTTTAGTCCTTTACACACACCTAAGAAACACTACCCCACACTGTTGGGGTACAAATAAATTGGAAAGAAGGGGAAAATGGGGGAGGAAGAGGACACAGATAAATAGGCAGGTCCCTCGGTCCCCTTATACTCAGGATGCCCAGGCACAAAGAGGTCCACCAAAGACCCTGAGGCAAGAAATAGGTCCCAGGACCCATGCTGCCCTCAGGCTGCTACAAAGGAGATAAAAGCTCACAGCCCAGGTCCCAGGGGAAGAAAGAGAAGGAGGGGAATCATGGGGGCTCCTCCTCAGCTTCTGGGTCAGACACCAGAAGTCACTGTTCAGAAGAGATGGGACAAAAAACAGACCGTCCCTGTCTTTTCTGACCCAGAGCAGCCACGTGGGCATCACAAGGACACGACTAGGAGGTCCAGGCCCTGGCTTCCCCATCGCACCTGTGACAGCATGAAACCTGCAGGTCACACAGTGAGAAACTAGGCCTCCTAAGGTGCTGATGAGAGGGCGTGTCTGAGGTGTCCCTCTCCTGGTGTCACCAAGGAAGATTCAAAATTCATTGGGTCGATGCGAACTTACTGAGCACCTACAAAGTCCAAGCCCTGCTCTCGGCACTGTGGGCAGAGGGTGAACAGAGGAGACCAAAGTCTCTACCTGTAGCAGGCAGGCCTCCTCCCCTGAAGGGGGACAAACAAAGCAGCATGGAGCAGTCGTGACAGCGACAAGACATGCCAGGAGGAAAGCCCGGTGCACAGATGGGTGGTGGGAGGGTGCCGCTTCCTGGGGTGCTCCGGGAAGGCCTCTCTGGGGGAAGACATGACAGCAGAGGCCCGAGGAAGGGAGGGAGCCAGCGTGCTGCTCTGTGGAGGGAAACACTCCACAAGGCACGTGCAAAGGCGCATGGACAGGAGTGAGCTTGGTCACATGAGGGTGGCAGGGTGACCCGAGGAAGGTGGGAGGCCCACGTGGCCCTGCCCTCAGGGAGCCTGGAAGCTCGAGGACTCGATGATAATTCTAAAGCCCACCAGCTAAGCTCCAGGTACACTGTCTCCTTGGTGCCGCAGGGCAACTCTATGGAAGCTATCTCTGAGTCCCTTTTACAGGTCTGCTAACAGGCTCAGGGGGAGGAAGTGTAAAGACACAACTGGAATCTGAGTCCAAATCTGTCCAATTCCAACCTCTGCACTCGACCCCAGGAAACAGCGATAATTACCACCACTCACATGCAGGGATGTAAGAGCTACTATTTCATCGACAGCGCACAGTGACATTAAGTCAGAAGAACGCACCTGAGAGGTAATTAAATAAGCTACACAACCACACACCTTTACACGTCAGAGCCAGGAGGGAAACCGAGGCCTCCAACTGGCTGGGGAGAAGACCCTGGCCCGTGGGACGTGTGTGCTGTGTCCAGAACCGAGGCCGCTGAGTGGCACGGGTCCAGGTAACAAGGCTGCAACCAGGACCCCTGGGGCTCAGTTCCTGGCACAGGTTGTAGGACCAGAGCCACACAGGATCCTCTGCACTTTTCGCAAGGTCTGAAAATTTGCAAAAGGGAAACAATGGGCAGAAAAAGCATTTCCAGACAAGATACTACTAAAGGTTAGAAAGAGCAGAGAAAGGGCGAGACTGGGAAGAACAGAGGGAAGGAGGGTTAGGCCCTCAGCAGAGATTTTTGTTTTGTTTTGTTTTTTAATTTTTATTGGAGTAGAGTTGATTTACAACGTTGTGTTAGTTTCAGATGTAGAGCAAAGTGAATCAGTTATACATATACGTATATCTACTCTTTTTTAGGTTCTTTTCCCATATAGGTCATTACAGAGTACTGAGAAGAGTTCCCTGTTCTCTACAGTAGGCCCTTACTAGTCATCTATTTTACCCTCAGCAGAGTTAATCAGCCTAAAGAGATAGGAAAGAGGCCGAGCCGCTGCCCTTCAGTCCAGGGGGGGAAGGGAGCTGACAGAGACACAGATAAAGTCCCCATGTGCTACCTGCCCGGCCACGGGCTGCCTGGGGTTACAACGGCCCCCCCAGCTCACACATTCATTCATTAGTAAACATCTACTGAGCACCTAACTACTGGCTACAAGGCACCTTCCCAAGGGGAGAGCCAGGCTCCCGACTTACCTAAGGAAGGAGTCCTTAACAGAGGATTTCTTAATGGAGGAAAACCACACACATTCACGTGTGCCTACGAAGAGACAGAGTCTGACTTTGCATTCTGAACGTGACCAGGTAATGAGGGCCCTGGCTCTCAGCCTCTCTGAGCCTTCCTGTCAGGCACAAGGGGTGAACGGCACCCACCTTCCCACCTCCCTGGGATGCTGTAAGGTTCAGAGGAGAGACCAGACAGGACAGTACTAACTAAGTCAGGGCACTGCCTGTCGTGGACGGCAGTGGGGAGCACTGATAATCTAGAAGAACTCAACGTAATGCTAGATTTCACATTTCTAACTAAAAACACTGATAAATCCGTAAAAACAGAAAACAGCCAGTAATTTAATCCCATGACACCACAGCCATGGGGGAAAAAAACAAAAATTCAAGACAATATATCATTGAAGACAGGCCAGGTAGTGTCTCTTTGGTTCTTATCTTCAAGAAACCCAGAGCAGGTGGCAAGGCTGCAGCCAGGTACTGGAGACGCAGCCTCAGGAAACTGCTCCTTTACTCCAAGGCCTGTTTGAAATCCGAATCTTCTAACGAGGACTTCTTCTGGAGTTCTCAACTGGCCCAAACTTCTTATGGGAGCAAAGGACTGGATAGTCATCATTGCAACACGAGGCTAGAAGAAGTGATTTTTTTTTTACATAGACTATTTTGTAAAGCGGTTTTAGGTTCCCAGCAAAATCGGGAGGAAGGTACAGAGGTTTTTTTCATCTACCAGCAGCCCCTACGCATGCACAGCCTCCCTCGTTATCAATAACCCCCACCAGAGCGGGACATTCGCTGCAACTGATGAACCCATGCTGACCCATCATAATCACCCACAGTTACGTCAGGCTTCGCTCTTGGTGTTGCATATTCCACGCGTTTGGAAAACTATGTGACAACATGTATCCCCCATGACAGTATCATACAGAATAGTTTCACTGCCCTAAAAGTCCTCTGTGCTCTGCCTGCTTATCCTCCCTCGCCACTAACCCCTGGTGAAATCTCCTCTTAATCAAAGGAATCATGCCAGCCTTCTGTTCTGCAGCGCATGGCACACGCGTGCCTGATTTACACTAATGAGCCACGTGCACTGGATGTAAGTGGGATGAGAGCTCGGCAGAGCACATGTGCCCAGCACACGCACACCCACCACCAAGGGCGCTTGGCACCGGGTACCCTGGACCCGACAGGACAGGAGGGTCGTGCTCCAGGGCCCTCAGTCCCGTGGCTGTGCCGAGCCTGTCCTGGAGGGAGCAGCTCACTGCCCACGAACACGATCCTTATGCTGAGATGTTGGTGTCATGCCCTCTCCTGGCGTCACCAGACGTCACCAACCCCTTTACCTGGCCTCTACTGCCGACAGCAATCCACCTGGGCCAGGAGCCTGTGACAGAGCCTTCTCGAGGGACTTTCCCTGAGTGATGTGACTGTACTATTTGGTCCCTCCCCACAAATGTGAGCGCCTCTCCCTGAATAAACCCAACAGAGTTTTTCATTATGGTGCAAACATTTCACACGAGCTCTCTCCTCTTCATATATGTTAATGGCTATGCCCGGGCACAATGCTATACAGCAGGTCTCTAGAGCTGACCCGTCTTGCTTGCCTGAAGCTTTACACCTGGTGAACAGCATCTCCCATTCCCTCCTGCCCCAGCCCCTGGCAACCCCCCTTCCACTCTCTGCAACTCAGAGTTCGACTATTTTAGGTTCCTCATATAAGTGGAATTAGGCGGTGTTTGTCCTTCTGGGTCCAGCTTATTTTACTTAACATAATGTCCTCCGGGTTCATCCATGTTGTCACCTATGGCAG